TCTTTGCGAGCACCCCATACACACGCCGGACGTATATGTACGCTTTTTACAGGTACAATGTACTCGTATTTATAATAATATACATCATCCCTATTCCTTTCCGTTTGAGTGCGGCTTTCCATTTTCAATCATTTTATGTCAAAGCTGGGTGTCGTCATGCAATTCAGCAGTTTCCTCTGCGACGGATATATGTATATATATATATATATATATAAATATATAAATTGCTAATCTCATTCTCTTCAATAAATATCATATATATTATGCTCATAAATATCTAATAAATTAAATGGTTTTTGGCATTGGTTTATCGGCGCGCAGGCCACCAACGATTTATGTACATTTTCAAAATAAATTCCAACCGAGAAGTGTGTATAAAATAGAATTTATACGATCGTTAAATAGTACAACAATATTATAATATATTGTACTATACAATTATTGCGTGCAGTATTTATCAAATCGATAATTTTTGCTAAGTACTCGGAATAACAATAGAAACATTATTTTTTTCATTTAAAATCTATGAATAGTACATTTTTTTTCACTGCGAGTTATATAAAATACTGTATTAAATTAAAAAAATAATTTGGTGTGATTTTTATAATTATTTTAAATTAATAAAGAATAATCATTTTCACATAGCGTCTCATGTGTGTGATATTGTGTCTGTAGAAAGTCGAAATCGTACAGTTTGACCGCGGAGAATATTGTAAACATTTCTAGACTAGTTGTGCATTTTATATTGCTTACAATAATCTTTTATAGGTATGGTGCGTGCGTTTGGTCCAAGAAAAATAATAAAATACGGTCCAGGAGTTTCTGGAAATTAATGGATACTGCTAAACTGTTTACTGTAGGTGGTACCTCGTCATTACTATGCTTTCTTCTGTTACACAATTAATTTATAAATTATAATTGATCTCCACTGACATTGGTAAACTTCTGTACAAATATCTCTGGTTAATCAGAAATATAATAATATATTCCCGTTGTGCAGTCCGACTGAACATTTTGTCGCGGAGTATAAAAATAAATACTACCGACTAATTTTTAACGATAAGATTTACTCGGCCAATAACTGAAATTCGATTACAACATAATAGTAGATACATAGTAAAAATAGGCACATATTATATATATATATATATATATATATATATATATATATATATATAAATATATCACTGCACCATCGCAATAATTATTGACGTTTCGTTGCAATTATTTTTCTGCTCCAGATATGTTTCTCGCGCGTGCAGTGCAGTAATTCATTGTTATACCACGAGTGCGATGTATGTGTATCATAATGTAATCGTAATATTATTCATGTACTAGTGAATAATACGTTTGTAATTGGTTTTGTTCATGCGAAATTCCAAAAGAGTATGAAGCTGCACATAACTGGCAGACGTGTTATTGTCAATAGAAAAAATCGTAAAAACAACGGATTTGTGTATTGTTGGACCCGGTGGTGTAACACTGTGTACAAGTGATTTGTGTATCATTGTTTTTACGATAAATCGTCACTTTCCGCAACGATTTTAAATGTTCAACGTTTTTTCATCAGTTATGCGTGATATTTAATATAGTTAAAATGTGACTGGAAGTTATTTGTCTGTCCAAGCCGAATGAAATAATGGTTTACGAAAATATTTCATAGGTCTTCAGGAAGAAATTCGATTGAGCGTGTGTGCCCACATATTTTTCCCGTGATATGAACGAATTTTGCACATCATGCATTACCTACTCCGTACATTCGGTTAGTCAATAATATGTAAATGAAAGTCGTTAGCATCGTCGGATCGCATAGCGTAGAAAAAATATATTACACTGCCAGCGCGCGGCGAAGAAGAGGAAGTGAAACGACGATCACGACGCGACGCAACGTCTTCTCGGGTATTTCTTCTATCTTCTTGCAAATATTAGAAGGCGCGATCGCAACGGTTAATATCCCACTCGAGACACAGTACCGTACGGAGGAGACGCGTTTTCACAAATTATGCATATGCAAATCATATTTTAATGAAATCGCCGTCGCGATGGTAAATCCATAGGAAACAACAACGCGCGCGCATTTATTTTATATCATCCGCGATAACGTTTAATCGGATTTACGGAATATTATTCAAAATCTCTTCGCGTACAAAATAGTGGCTATATTAGAACATCAACGTGTACAGGATAATACAGTGCAAAATGTCCCAAGTAGATACTACGAAACTTCGTGTGCAGTGTAGTACACTGGTTGAATATTTTCAACACTCGTTTTCACGGTCAACATTGTCAGCACTAAGTTTGTGTAATTCAAAATTCGAACATTCAAATGATTGATCATTTTATAATTGGATGAAATAATAAATCCATCAAAATAATGAGGTGCGTTATTTCTACCATTATAGGTTATCTATTAAACGATGTTTTGTAAGTAGTATAAACGATTAAACACAGGATTGCTGTTATGATAAAAACTAGAGAAATTAAGCATATTTGTTTGTTTAAATGTTGTATACATCAATAGATGTTCAAAAACGCGTAAATCGATAGAGGAAACGAGTGTTAATCGTTGAAAGAATCAAACACTGCGATGTCCACTACAGATAATCTCATGATGATATATGATTTCAACTGTTTCGATAGCGGGTAGAGCGGATAACGATGTCGCTGTGCACTCGCGATTATTGATTGCAGTGTACGGACTATTCGAGTGGAACCAATCAATAGCTAGTAACGGCACGGTGCGACAAAACGTTTTTCGTTTTTATTTGACTGAAAGGAAAGGGCAATAATTTTCTCTATGTCATTGGAGGGACCTAAAATAAATACTACTATAGAACTTACGCGTTTCAACGTAAGATGAAAAAAAAAAATGCTGTGCGGTCACGCCATAGGTGTATCAAACGGTATAATATTCATTTACAATCGCATAAAATCTACGCGTTATGTTTTATTATTATCGTCGTCGTCGTGCTCGTGTGATATTGACACCATCCAACGTCGTCTTCGTTTACATACGGCTAATTGAAGACGGACGACGCTTTTCGTTGTGGTCGTCGTGTACTCGGGTGAGTGTGAGCACGTATACACGTTAGGTCAAGCACCTCGGTTCGATGAACAAAAAATAAAACGAAAAACAAATCTGCAGCAATCGTAGCTACGGAATTAACGAAGGTAAAGAGTCAAACACAAGAACAAACAAAACCGAATACAATATTACTGTGCACAAAGATCGGACAAAAACTAGCGTGTATAAGGTCGCATCCGTTACGGTAATTTCGTGCGCAGATCGACGACGTATTTTATCGGATCGTTTTTTGTCCATAACATATTCACTATCATACATTTATACATATATTAAAATAAACATAAATAAGTTTATATTTATCCGATACACACGATATTATCGTTGATGTGGCAGTTTTTTATTCCGACGATAAATCTGGTGCATACCACTTGCGTCCCGACCAAAAAGGTCGAGAACCGACGATAACCTATTTGCGTCCTAGTACAATTTTTTTTTAATAACCAAGTTGCTTCCAAAAGCAAAGTTATCGATTATTTGATCGGGAAAATATCGATTGTATACTATTTATTCATTTATTATAAATACATGGATATTAGATATATATAAAATATTAGAATAAAATAATTTCTAACGTAAGCTTTAAAATATTACAAAAAATATATTGGTGTAAAATTTATTATGAGTATAGAATTAAAAATTATTCTAATCGCGGTCTACTCGATTCTTAGAGTCTAATAAAATCTAAAAGTTGTGATGTACAAGTATAATATACAGATAAAACTGATACAATTATTGCTGACATTATATTAATACGTTTCATTTAATTTATTGTAACCATATAGTAAAGTTGATTAGTTATCGATAGATATCACATATTTTAGTTAATATATCGATAGTTATGGCATAGCCGACTTGCGAGTTACAGGTCGATTTTATTACCTGCTTAATATACCTTTTTTTGGGATGCAAGTAGTACGTAGCCGAAAAATCGTTCGAAAACCATATTATTGATATAAATATAACAAAAGCACAAGTGTACTAATATACATATTTATAATCTTTGCTGTGGTATACTTCGGTTGGGAAAATTCTACTAGGGGGACAGACTATACGGGAAGCCTTACCTGTTTTCATCTACAATTATGAGCCCAACTAAAAACATTTTCTCGCACGATCAGGCGGAATTATTTTGATCTATAAACCAATATAACTGATCATCTAATGCATTGACGTATACTCGTACACAGTGTGCAGGTTGTAGCCGCGTGAACACGAAAATTGTTACGAAACCGTAAATAACATACAAATGTATAGACAGGTCGATGCATATATGCGTGCATAACAATGGATATATATACATAAATGAAGCAAATATTTAGTGCACGCGGGCATATTTATCGTGTTTATACGGTGTGTGTATGATTCAATTGTTGCAGTCTATAATGGGTATATGTATATTGCGTTTGAAAAAGCGCGCACGCGACAATGGTAGGAGATGGTGGGCGAGTGAGGGCGAAAAGTACAACGGATAAATTATTACAATTATAAAAACCACTACCCTCCGCCGTTTTATAACTGCAGTTTACGGGAAGGCGGCGATATCGGTGAACTTTCCAGTCCCACTAATGGAGTGGTGGTGACGTGCGCGCGGTCGTGTTACAATTCAAAACTATGTAACAATCTGCATGAGCACATAAAATTCAAATTTACACGAAAACGGTACGAACGCATTTTTATAAAAAAAAAAAAAAAAAAAAATCATGTCCTTTTGCCGTAATATTGTACACGTATTTATACACACGATAATAATTCTATTGTAACACGTTATGTTTATCATATTTGTAAGAACAAGAATCGAACGCAGTCTTCGTCTAAACCGTATTTTACACAAATTACTGTTATGAAAAAATATCAAAGTACATCACATTTATAGATACATGGGTGTGCATACTGAATTTTTTGTCACGTCACTTACTTCATTGATCATTTGCTTCGAGACCTCGACGTCTACCGTCTGAAACAAAACAATACCAACGTGTGCGTTAGAAAAACGGCGTGTATACGAAAAAATCAAACGACATTTAACACAGTGTAATAAATTATATTATTATAATATCTTTGTTGGACAACGACGTACGTGTCGATGTAAAATAGTTGTTGTGTACGTGTACATTATAGGGACGTTCGTGTGAGAGTGTAGTGTATGTTTTTTGTGTGACTGAGCTAATTTGTATGTTTCAAATCCACTACATTGGATTTCAACACTTAAATGTTATAGGCAACATCGTGCACAGAGTTCGAACGCAACGGACATAATTATTCCGAAATAAAACGCTGGTAATTGTGTAATACATACGCGATGTAGAGTAAATATTGTACATACAGGTATCTATATAGCAAAATTTTTGCAGCAGTTACCGACAGAATAACGTCGAGGTTTCATTGAGAGAATATTTTTTTATAATTTTAATTTTTCTAATTTTGCGAAATACATGGTAACCTATACACGCACACGATATCTTCGGTTAACTTAAGTCGAAATAAAAACAGTTTTTTATCACACGTATAGAATTTTTTATCGAATTAGATGCGATGGAATTTTCCTCTCAATGTCAATCGTATTGATAATGTGTTATTTGAAAGAAAAAAAAAGATAATACAAATCGAATTAACTTTAAAACGACAAAGTATTGTGCAATGCATTCTGTATCGATAACGCGACCTCGCTATTGATTATGACAGATATTACTAATCAGAGCGTCGTCGCTTGTATTTTACGTATTTGTGATTCAGACTGGTCAATGTTAATAATGAATGACCGTCTCGAGTCTATTACAATAGCGTATTGTTTGTGCCCATACTGCAGATACATACGATCATAGCTACTCCATAACAAATTTCACTGGTTCACTGGTTTCAAATTCATCAAAGGCCGAATAATGCCCTTTGTAGGATCACTGTAAGTAAAGCTGTTCGATATATTCAGAAATATCGTCCATGGCGCCATTACACAATGTAGATATTCATATATTATTATAACGTATTACACTATGTTTATAGTTGACGTTAATAGGTGTAAATTGGTCCGCAGCGGTTTTATACATGCGCTACGCGCGTAACCTTACCCTATCATAACAGATCTATAATTATACATTACCGTTTTCCTCGTATGATATTCAAATACAACCACTTCGATAATTATGTAGTATTATAGTAATTAAAATACTATTTTTATGTATAGCTTCAGCGTACAAAATCGATATTTTGTTCACTAAATAATGAAATAATGTAAAAATATCTCATGAGGATCTTGTAAAAAGTGCCCAGCATTGAATAAGATATTTAAGTAATTGAATCACAAATATTACGGCTAGTAATATTTATATTTATTTTTTTGTTTCACTACAACGTTTTAATAGTCAAACTGTGACTCGCAGTGCAGACAATAATACAAGAAAGGTTAAAGTATAATGTAGCATTGCATAAACAAATGAATACAGAGTGAATTATAGGTAGGTGCACGCCGACAAGTTGTTAACGACGACAAATACATATATTGTAAAACGACTGTCAAAATAAAATGTCGTTTTACCGAAGAATTTCGTAATATGTTTATCATAAATAAGCGGATATTGTGCCGGAACTTCCACGCACATCCTGCCGGAGAATGACGTGGAAGCGCGCTCCGGTCACCGTCGGTCCGTGTCTACACACTCGCTATCTCTGTCAACTTACCGAAAGACCGACCGGCGGAGGGGATTGGTCAAGAGGTTGGACGTTCCGAATGGAAAGTAGAAAAAAAAAATAGAAATAAACAAGTAGAAATAAAACTTAGTAAAACCTGAAATATCACGGAGTGCGTTCCGTCGAGCGGGTGTCCCTATGGTCTAGTTAAAAACCCGACGCGCGTAGTAGACCCGTCTGTCGCGAAAAACAAACTAGTCCATTCCACTTGAACAGTTCTGGCGCGGACACGAGGAATCGATGAAAAATCGATGTTAATACCGCGTGAAACTGTCACATAATCCTTTAACGGCAAAACGAACAATAAAGTCGGAGAAAAAAAATTGAAATAAAATAAAAAAAACAAAATATAATATAATACAGTTTTTCCGTAAAAAGAATAAGTTCATAGCCCGTGTCCATAATATCTTATCGCTTGTTTATTTCTCTCTCACTCTCTCTCTCTCTCTCTCTCGATACGTGATATCGTTTCGGTGACGTAACATCGCATCCGATTTCCGTTAAGTGTCCGCGATCACGTTTTGTGGTGACCCACGCATATTACACGTGTTATTGAATTTCCTTAAAGTGCGTTTCCTTCTCTGTTCCCTCCTATTGTTGTACACATCACCAGAAACGACAACAGCGATTCGCTCGATGATCCTTTAAGTGTGCTAAAGTCCGACACCCACTTAAGTTTGACCGGTGGAACCTAGAATTTATCGCACACAACTCGAACTTATTCTATTCTAAGCATACGAAATATTTTTTATTTCTCAGAAAATTTACACGCTGAATACATACAACTATTATATCGGTAAAAGCTTCATAATTATAATCAATACATTTTATTAAACACTAAAAAAGTGTTAATTATTTTCACATTTTCTATTATTTCGAGTACAATTTTCAATAATATTTATGCTTTGAATGAAAATTACAAGTTCAATATTTTTGTATAATACTGAAAATGTGTTTGATTAAGTAATAAAAAATAAAATAGTAGTTAGCGATGTAAAATTAATGTGTACAATTATGTACAATATATATACCTACTAGTTAAGAAGTTAGTGTTTAAATGTAAAATATATAAATATATAACTTGATAAAACAAACTTGTATACTTAACAACAAGTCACGTATGTAATCTACAAGTTTAATCACCGATGAGCCTTTAATTGTAACATACATATATATAAACAATTCACTACAAAATATTTTAAGAGGACATTTTTACAACAAAAGGTTATATATTTTCATAATTATATAATCTATATATAAATTTTACTATGTAAAAAGATATTTAATAATTTTCCTGAATTTCAGGAGCGGTTTGAACTCTTGAACTCCCCTCTATGAATGCGCCTGCAATATATATATATATATATATATATATATATATATATATATATATATGCATGTTGTGGTGTGATAACCATTTCGCGCTCACATACACATGACACACACTTATACATAATAAATATTGCTCAATGGAAATGGTGTGGTTCATTACTATCGCGGTGTATAGCGGTCGTGTACCGCTGGAGGTCGATTACGTTCGCGTCTATATAGTACAGTATATAATATCGTCATCTCGTTGATCGGTCGGTCGGTCGTCGAGAAGTGTTTAAACGCATCTTTTTCTATTCAAAAAACTGCGGAGCAAGCGGCGGGGACAGTGAGTCGAATCGGAGACCCTCCTGTTCGCATCCGATTCACACACATACACACACACACACACACACACACACACACATACCATAACGAAACGCCATGGATTCGCTGGCGCCCAATGCGAGCGCAGCATGACGTGAACACACGTATTATCATATAATATAAACTTGTGCAGGACAAATCATCGCTATAGCACGGATGTTCCTAGACTTTGACTATTTTGAAACGATTTTTAGACAGAAATTTTACCGCGTAACATAAAACATTAAGTAGCATTTGATAAAAATCGGAAACTTATAACTAGAGCCCGAATTTTTATGCATTTAAAAAGTTTCAAATATGATGTAAATATGTAAAGAAAAAATGGCTAAATATGTACTTATATGCATTATGTTACACTTTATAAAATGTATTTTTTAAAACCATACTTTTATACTTAATAAAATTCTAAATATTTTATCAAAACCAAAAAAAAATTATAATATCCACTGCTTTATATTTCAAATCATTTAAATTAATCTAAAACTTTTAGGAAACTTAAAAACGAGAATACAAATAAAAATAAAAAAATAAAAATAAATATTTTAGATTTTATAAAATTTTTAGATCATTTGAAGTTACCTACTCTCAAAAAACTATCGGAAGACTTAAAAAAAAAAATATATAAATCTTTTAAAATAATATTTTTGAAACTTTATACCTATCATGTCTATTCGTGTTCTATTTGAGGCGATAAAAAAATTTACTGTAAATTAAAATAGTTAATTTATTAAAAACCTAATAAATATGCAAAATATGCAATATAAAATTTGATGTTTAAATTTAGTGTGATATGAATCATAGACATTTTAAACCTCCATAGGAGTGCATACACTTAATACAAACATGCAAATGCATATAAATCCGGACTCTACTTATAACTATAAGGTGGAGAATTCATTATTTTGATTTGGTCTCGCGCGATTCTGTCTCTTCCACTTCTGATTTCACCGTGCATCCTGTATATCCTGTATACTCGAGAGGATCTAATATAACAAATTATCAATTTATTTTACGTTTTGTGAGCGGCAGGTGCTGCACTGCAGTTAGACACGTATAGATGGTTAGAGAGAGGAGGAGAAAGGGAAAAAGAAAAAAGTTCGCCTTGGCCGTGTGAGTACTGCTCTCGATTTCTTTAGGACCAGGGTCAGCTTTCTACAACTGCTCGAGGTCGCTCAGCCCCGCGGGCCTAAATTATTTAACACCTGCGGTATACCGTGGCCACCGTTACACCAGCTGCCACGTATAAAACTGTGCACTTGGAAAGCAAACGACCATATTTAGCGTAGGTACACAATTACGTCTTGTATCGTCAGATTATACAAAGGCGTTGACGGCTATGAGTTGGTGGAGCAGCGGGAATAGCACAGGACAAATGCAACAATTTGCTGCTTTCCTCGTCACGGAAATTCGTGTGGTTCGCCATAAATAGGCGCGCTGCGGGAAACCTCGCGTAATGGTCAATATATATAATATGAAAATATATAATATTATAATATACACTCGCACATCCGCCGACGTTATATTACAATATACGTGTCTGCAAGTGCGGTGACTGTGAAAATACACAGCGCCGGC